GTGATCAGATGATATTGCTACCTGGGCTTTGCATTTATATGTAATAGCACACGTTTACTTAAACTTCATTCAACATTTCATTCTGATTTTGAGGGTTACTCTAGAAAAGTACAACTGATTTACTTTATATCAAACACTATTTCGGCTATACTCAGAGTCATTATTGAAAAACTATTCTTTAATGATTAATCAGCCAATCTTAGAATAATACACAATAGATTTTCAGGTTCCTGCCATTTATTTAAGGTATAAAGACAAAAATGTTGTGGAATTTTGTATCTTCGCAGTCTCATTTCGTTGTATAGTAGTTATTTGACTTTGTTTTCGCAACTTGGTTCTATTGACGGGAATACCTATAGTAATGCACATTAACCGGAATCCATAGTATGCATGATAAGTTCCAGAGTCGTACCACGGATCTCGTACATTCCCAAACGTTTCACCTGCATCATTAGTAAGTTTTGCCATTCTTAGTACCACATTACTACTCGTCAAAGATGTTATTGAAGTAGAAACTTTGAATAATTGTCTGATAAACAGCGGTGATAACTCTCTTTCTGTTCCGGAATATTCATCAATCGTATATCATGGCACCAACCCTTTGGTGTCACATTTCCTTAATTCCATATTTAAATGAGGTATAGTGTGACCGTTTGGACACATATCATCAGACCTCTTCACACCCCACACTGGCTTTCTCACCCCACATCCTAACACAGTGCTGGGAACTTTGAATTGAGTCTGACATATTATTCCGAAATCCTCTTTCCATAGGTCCTATCAAAGTCTCCTATCTCTCTGGTTCAGGTATTCCATTTGACTCCTGCCAGCCTATCTGTGCTACTCGAGGCGTTATTTACAATACTCTGCATCAAACTTTGATGTCTTATATATTCTCACTCCGGTGGATATGCCGAACAAAGTCTGGATTATCAAGATGGATGGGAGACTAATTTGTGGCTATAGACCCCTAGGAATTCTCATGGTCAAGCATTTTGCTTCAAGAACCACATCTATGATCAAACACATATATTGTTAGCCAACTAGCCCTAGTCTCTACCGCTTAATTGTTTTTGAGGTTCACCTTTATATATATGTAAAGAAATAAATAGCTAAATTCAACTAACAATCCTTCACCACCTTAAAAATTAGGGTGCATGCGTCTCATATATGATTTTAAATATTTTCTCTTCATGACTCCATTTGCAAAGAAAATTTTTAGTACATTTTCAGCAGTTATTTACCAGATCCGAAGTGTGATGACTCGAGGTCTGCAATATCTTGATAGTCTCATTAAAATCGAATCACAACGGAGTAATGGTGTGATCTCTTGAAATAAAATAAAAATCAATCCAGGAGGAGATTAATCAGAACCAAGTAACTTTTCTCGGAGAATTATTAATTTTTAGGCACGATTCAGGCTAGAATAAAAGAGGATATATTGAGAACATACAGTCATAACTCAGAAATTCGGATAATACTTAAATACATTAAGCCTTCTTCACGTAATAAGACCGTCTCGATAAAAATTATCTAATCAGCCCAGCTTCATAAAAGAGTAACTTCGAAAAGTAGAACTCTTAGCGATCTTGCATTCTTGATTACTTCTGAAGGTGCTTTCGCATCAAAATACAAC